AACATGATTAAATGTTGGCATTTTTTATACAGAAGGACAAAGCTCAACATTGTTGTGACATCACAATGTTCTACAAAAGCACACATACTATCCTTCATTAAATTCCTTTAACGCACTACATGCAGTTCAAAAGCCTGAGGCCAGTTTCCAGGATTCTGAATTTAAACTGCAACTTGACTCGTCGGCGGAGACAGACAATCATGAGGCGGTAATTTCAGTTTAAGATGTTCTGGTGATCACACGTGGCATCAGGAAGGAGTGACAACCCATTCATTATTTATGTGTCTGTAAATGATTTGTGTCTAAAAAGGAGGAGGCTGTTGGTCATTGAGCACTACATGAAAAACATGTTTCTTTGATAAGGTACCAATTGAACTCCTTGAACATTTCCACGCTGCTGTGTTGTGCATAATGTGGGTTTGAGGTCCTAAATATATTCCATCTGCATTGTCGAAGCAATTATTTATGATTGAACACTTCTGTATATGTTTACTGGCATAATACATACAGGGTCATGCACTATTCACTGCCTCACCAGGACACAACGACTGAAGCAGCCACTCATGCATGCAGGCTCTCGACATGGGCAAGAAAATACACAGTCAAGCATGCACGTACATTGTACATATGTGTGTGTGAGCATAGAAGCAATATGCATTTGCAAGAATTCAAGCACTTAAAGGGAAGATTCAGTTTTGCAGGATGCTCTGCATACTATTACATCTCTATTGCAAAACAATAATCAAGCTAATCAAGTCATTTCATCTCACTTTTATCAAGCGCGCTGTTTCTCCCTCCGGGGAAGAAAAGATAATCTTATCATGGTGGTTTCCAGGGCAGTTATTTGTAAAAAATAAACAGAAGTGACTGGAATAATTTCACCGTATTGGCTCATGTGCATATTTTTGACTTTTACAGAAAATATACAAAATGACTTTCTGAAATTTAGATATTGCTATTCATTGGCTAAGGATTATCAATAAACTTGTGCGAATGCACTTGCATTAGTGACACATTACCAAATTACGATTGCGAACATGCTAATTGCTAAAACAAAGAGCATTTTTGCAATTCAATATTCATATTACCACAAGTCTGTTGATCATTTCTCAACATAAAACAGATTTAACATTTTAGGACCACTTTACTACAAATACATTCATACATTAAATAAATTAATTGAACTAGAAGCTGACAAACCATCATTCTTACAATCCTGAATCTTTCTTTTAAAGGTTCAGTGTGTGGAATTTAGTGAGGTGACAGAAAACCTGTGGTAGCTTCAATTTTCATAAAAACTCAAAAGGTGTTTTGTTTGTCCAGTTTGGGCTAACCACAATTCGTACTATTTAAATGATTCAACACAAGTTAAAACATCTCCAGGATTATGTAATAGATCCCTTTCACCTTTATCTTACACACTGAACCTTTACAACAAGTGCCCTGGAACACATTGACAGTGTAAATAAAACAAAACAAAAAACAGCAGTAGTGACCGGAACCAGTTTTGTTACATGCAGCCGTTCAGGAGGAGCGCCAGCGAGCCAAGGAGAAGAGTGAGAGCGAGGTGGAGTCCACCACCTGCGCCAATGAGGACATGCCCGTGGAGAAGATCCTGGAGGCCGAGCAGGCGGTGGAACCCAAGACGGAGACCTACATTGAGACCAACCTTGGTGTGCCGTCTAACTCGGTGAGTCTGCAGTTCTATGCATTATTCAGGAAACACAGTAGACATGCAGGAGCTGGCGGGGAGAATCATTAGTCTCATTTATTTATTGCAAATGGCTACTATTCAACATTATTATTAATACTATTATGCTCACTGTAGTATTGGTAGACTATTTTTGTTGTCAATATGACCAAACTACACGTTGATGTGTTGATGTAGAACTTTTGGCAGTGAAACTTTAACTGTGTCCAAAGCCCCTGCCAGTAAAAACTAAATGTTTTCAGTTTGATGGCTCCTGCTTTGATTCTTTTGGTTTCCAAAATTATTGACTTACCATTGTCCACAATTTACTTTAGTTTCTTCCAGCTGCAAGCAGTTCCTGGACAGTATCTCGTTTCTGCGTCGAACTGTTGAGTCCACAGAGAGTTGTTCTTGGCCCTTGCTTGTGATTCAAGAAGATCTGAATTCCTTCATTCTCTTTATTCTTTATTATCATTGGTATTAGTTTTTGCTTTATAGAGTTTTTGGTTTATTTTGGTTTACTACGAAGAGCTCTGTTAGTTTTGACACAGTTCAGGATTCACAGCTAAAACTTTCTATGCTGTCATTTACATATAATGCATAAAGTCGGATTTGTCAGTACACAGATTAAACTTACTTAAGTAATTTTTCAATAGAAAAATGTTCTTAAAACAGTAAACTTTTATCAGACTTCTTTTTATTGAGTATTCAAAAGCTGACATCCTGTTGCCTGCGTGCAGAGATGGTGATGAGCCTCAGATATTCGTACTGTTTGTCCCCTCTTTTTTGGTCCCTTTGGAGACGGCTGCTTCTGGTCTCCAGCGCCGGTTTACCTGTTCACCTCGTATTGGCTCTTTCTCTCAGCAACGAGTTCCCGCATCTGTCCCCTCAGTATCATCTGGGCACTGTGGGCTGTCTTTGACACAGAGGAGACTAAGAGTGATGAATAATGCAACAGACAGACTATTCCTGAAAGCATCCCGCAAAGCCTCAGCTTTCTCAGTAATTCTGCTGGAACATGAGAAACAGAGGAACTGTGCATCGTCCTACCAAAACAGGTGGAGGGGGGGGGGGGGGGGGGGGGGGAGTTACAGAGGGTGAGACTGAAGGAGGGAGAGAAAGAGGGGAGGGCTTCTTCTGGGATCCGTCTGCTTCAGGGGAGGGAAATGTCCTGTGAAGTAAAGGTAGAAATGTGAAAGCTGTTATGTGAGTAAATGGGAGCTATATTCAGGGGGCCAGATGGAAATGTAGGAGATGAGCGTTGACATTAGGTGGAGGGAGTAAAGGGGGAGGCTGCCAGCAGCCCAGACACACTAATGCACTGAGTGTGTTTGAGCTCAGCCACAGTGGGTCCCTCGATGCCCACTGTCTGCCTGACACCAAGAAGAAGAGGTTTGCTGAAGGAATACAGAGGAGATGGAAACACCACTTTCGTCTTCACAGAACTTTAAGGTTGATCAACATAAAGTGGAATCAATCGGAATCAGTTTTATTGGCTTTGATGTTCTTTGAGAATCGAGTCCGTCATTGGCAAATTGAAGGGACTGAACAAAACTCACACATCAAGACCAAAAAACAAAACAATTCTATAACAATAAAACCAGGATGAGGAATGGATCAATGCAAGAGCCTAAAACCATGTCTGAACTCTTAACTGTTCTCAATTATTGTAAAACAGAAAGACCAGAGCTGTTCCAGAGTAACTTGGTAAGAAAGGCCTTGGTCAGGGAGAATACCAAAATTGTCTGTAGTTATGGAACAACCTGCCAGAAGCTGATTATCTCAACCGCCCCTGATGTGGCTTTAGGACAATTCTCTTAACCGTCCTTGAGTTGACCAGACTTAGAACATGTGTGGTGAGGCCTGAAGTTGGCAGTTTGCAGACAGACACTTCTCATCCAGTCTGACGGAGCTCTGTCTGAAAGA